GCCGTGAAGGACATGGAGAAGGACCTGGCGCAGAAGGTGGAGGAGCTGGACAAGGTCCATCTGGACCAGAGAACCGAGGAGCTGGAGAATGCTCCCCTGGGGAGGGGCAGAGGACGCTGCGGCGGGGGACGGGGCCGCGGGCATGGTCGTTGGGGACAGAGAGGAGGAAGCTCAACTGGAGAGCAGACGGCGCAGCGGTTGATTGAAGAGATTGATGAGATATCCAGGAACGTTGAGAAGCTCCGCGTCGAGGCGGATGCCGAGTATGCGCGGGAGCTAGTCGCGGAGGAGGAGAGAAAAGCCGCCGGGTGGTGAAAACGTGACACGCAAGTTGGTTGAGTATCTAATATATACACAACATATGGGAGGGAACTCTTGTTTCTTTGCTTCCATTGGTAATTTACCATGCCTCGTCTATTTTTGGGTCACCGTGCTATGATGCGCCGTATCCTGTCGTAATCGTTTTAAACTTGCATTCGTTAGAATGCTTGTCCCTGTATACACGCCTCTTTTTTTGAGCCACCTCTCTTGAATAGCTTTGGACGCCATCAGGCAAATGAACATCCCAAACTCTCCCGCGGATGGTGCCCAATACGGGGATTCACAAGTCCGCATGCAGACCGCGCCTCCCGTCCTCACGGTTCATCATTCACCAGTCAGATCGCTACTGGCTTCGACCCATTCATCAAAAACTCCTTGGAGGCCTCAATAGGGGACAGACAATAGGGGACGAACTTAGAGTCACGGCCAGACTCCTAGTTCTTGGCGGACTCGTTCTTCTCCACCAGCTCTCCGACACCGAGGCCGCGGCCGACCTTGACCTTGCGCTTCTTGTCGGCGTTGGGGTCGCGGCCGACGTCGCCAACGGCATCGCCCTCGTCAGCGGCCTCGGCGGCACCGCCTTCCTCCGCCTCGCGGTCGCGCTCGTCCTGGATCTGCTCGCGGATGTAGCCGAGGTCAAGCTTCATGCAGTAGGCGTCCTCGCCGTCGGCGTAGTACGACTTCTCCGTCTTTTCGGTCTTGAAGCCGAGGGTGTCGCGGTACAGGTGGATGGCGGCCTTGTTGGAGACACGGACGTGGAGGGAGACGTACTGGGCGCCAAAGGTCTCGACCATAGCCAGTTCTGTGGGGGCCAATGTCAGCTCAGGACGTCCATAATGGCAACGGCAGGACCTTGACGACAGGGGCACACGTACGACTTTGACGCATCAGCTTCTCAGCGATACCCAGACGGCGGTGGGTGCGCATGACGCTGAGACTGGTGATGTGGCCATGGGGCACGCCGTCGGTGGGCTCCTCCTCCATCTTGGCGAGCACGTAGCCGACGATCTTGGGGTAGTCGTAGGGTGTGCGCTTGGGGCGGGAGACGTCGACGGCGACATAGCTGAGCTGGGGCCACGAGAGGGCATGGTAGAGGTAGTACTTGAGGAAGTAGTTCTCGGGCAGGTTCTCGAGGTTGGCGTGTTGTATGAGGGGGAGGTCGGAGGACTTGAGGAGGCGGATATCCATGGTGGGCGAGTTTCTCCTTTTTCTGTCTCGGGACGGGAAGTTCGGTACAGTGACGCAGAGGGAGGACGCGAGGCTGCTGTTCGAGCTGGACTGGTCGTGGTCCGGGGTGGGAGGCAGCTGTCGCGCGAGGCTGAGGTGGGAGGGGTGCGTGGTGGTGTGGGTTGATGAATGGTGGTGAAGGAGAGACTTTTAGGTGGTGACCCATGTCGTTGGTGGTCGCTGCTGCCGACCCCACCACACTCAGCGCCGCACGAGGCTCCGAGGGTCGCTCGAAACTGCCCCGCCAATTGCGATTGGGGAGCTTACAGCTGTGCTTTTTACCGTTCCAATGCAGAGGATGAGCTTGTCCAAGCTGCACATTCAATTGACCACTAGACTCGAAGTCAGCCACCAACGGCGCTTCCGTTCGTGCTTCTATTTTTCAATGCGGCTTGTTACGTTTCCAGCTACTCAATTCCAGCATATACCGTTATCCTCCCGCATGTTATGCTCGGTGTAAACTATTCCGGAAAGTCTTAGCGCTGCTTCTCCAGCTTTAGCGGTAACACTTCCCACCGACACCGAGACATCACGACGCAAAGACGACGCAACTTGACTCGTGGATTAGCTCAATGGCCCATTTCCCAAGTTTATTCTCAAGAACGAGGTCCAAGATTAAAGTATATAGAGTCTCTGGTCTTACGGTGTCTGGAGTAACAGTATACGATGCTCTCTTAGGATATCCCCAATGTGCGGGATCTTCGTGGTCGTCTCTATTTTGCGCCCTTGTTAATTGCTCGTCATTCGTCCCCTCCAGCCATGTAATTCACCGTTGTAGCAATTCGTACCCAACAAAATGCCACAGCAATGTCTCAACTTGGGAGTCACCTGCACCAGGGCCCTTTCCGAACCCTAATGCGACCTTCACGATGGTCTAGAAAGACCCTTCCAGCGCCTCGAACCCTGGCACAGGATTGGCGCGGGAGAATGACGTGGGGGTCGCCCATCTCAGCGCCGTCCGTCCCACCACCGCGGGGCACCAGCACTTTACCCCCCGGACAGCTCTGCGACAGCGGGGTAGCTTGCATATCCCGCCGAGAGCTTCGTCTCGAGGGACACGCCGCACCAGGATCTTTCCTGCCACGAGGACGCGTTCCATTGGGTCGTTAACCCAGTCACCTCCAAGCTGCGCGCCTCTGTCCGGTCACGAGAACTGCTAGCATTGCCGATTTAGGAGATTGTACTTTTTTGCTCTACAAAGGGTCCCAGTTCTTACGTTGGGTACCCTAAGCTGCCGTGTTATAAGAGCGACCTTGTGGTCCCCGTCCTCCCCGGTCTTGCTGTAACCTGCTAATCTACCTCTCTCTATTCTCCTCTTCTCTCACTTTGCAACCATTCCGTGACCCAGTAGCCTCTGTTTCCTATTGTCACATTTCAGTATAATCCGAATACCAAAGACAGCATCAGCAATGTCTCGTTCCCTCGAAGGAAAGCTCGGAATCGTCACCGGCGGCTCTCGAGGTGCGATGCCGTCCTCTGCGTACCTTATCACTTCAGACAGCAACTAACAAAACACCAGGCATTGGCGTCGCCATCGCGGAAAACCTCGCCTCCAAAGGCTGCAACTTGATCCTAGGCTACACCTCCGCCTCCTCCAAAGCCCCCGCCGACCAGCTCGCCGCCGACCTCCAGACAAAACACAACATCACCGTCCTCCCCGTCCAGGCCGACATGGGAACCCCCACCGGCCCCCGCTCCCTCGTCGAGACGGCCAAAGCCCACTTCCTCCAAAAGAACGGCGGCAAGTTCCAGGTCGACATCCTCATCAACAACGCCGGCGTCGCCCACAACAACCTCCTCCCGGACATCACCGTCGAGCAGTTCGACCTCTCCTACCGCGTCAACGTCCTCGGGCCCCTCCTTCTCGTCCAGGCTCTACAGCCCTACCTGCCGCGCGACCGCAGCGGCCGCATCGTCAACATGTCCTCCGTCTCCTCGTCCACCGGCTTCCCCGAGCAGAGCGTCTACGGCGGCACCAAGGCCGCCCTCGAGGCCATGACCCGCACCTGGGCCCGCGAGCTCTCCGAGAACGCCACCGTCAACGCCGTCAACCCGGGCCCCGTCCTCACCGAGATGTACGCCGGCAACACCCCCGAGTTCAAGCGCTTCATCAAGGGCTTCATCGAGCACACGCCCCTCATGCGCGCACGCAAGGGCATCGACTCGGACGAGCTCGTCGCCGAGGCCGAGGAGGCCGGCGGCCGCCCCGCGTACGTGGGCGAGATTGCCGGCGTTGTTGGTATGCTTGTGTCTGCGGAGTCTGCTTGGTGTACTGGTCAGGTTGTCTGCGCCAACGGAGGCATGCTGCTTGGTATGCAGTAGAGGGTTCTTATGAGTGATGATACATGTGAATGGCGCTCCGTTTTGTTTTGTTAAATAGATTTAGAATTTTTAGAATTGATTCCCAAAGCACTTTGACCTACTGTTTTCTTCACCTCTCCAAAATGTAAATGTGAAAATTCTGTGAAATTAGCCTATTTGTTTTCATCAGTTTGAGCGTTGAATGCTTGATGTGAGAGTCGGAGACGCGGGCCAAAAAGTCGCTGAGTCAAAACTAATTTTGCCCCGCCATTAGAAATCGCCCCTCCATCAACTTCAACCTCAGTGTTTGGCCTCAACGCAACAACCGTCCAGCATAAAAATATAATATTCGCCCGTCTTGAGTCGCAAATACACTAAAAATCATTCCCCCAAGTATAAAATAACATGGACGACCCTTTTGACGACGTCCTCAACCTCGAGGAGCAGTTCTTCGCCGAGGGCTTCCGCCAGGGCACCGCGGACGGCATCCTCGCCGGCAAGATCGAGGGCCGCTCCGTTGGCCTCGCAAAGGGCTACGAGAAGTTCCTCGAGAGCGGCAGGATACACGGACGCTCCGTCGTCTGGGCCAACAGGCTGTCGCTGCCGCAAAAGACAGCTGCTGTTCCCAGAGCGTCCTCCTCGGAGCAACAGCAGAAGCAGCCCACGGAAGCAAAGACGTGCTCTCTGCCGCCGCTGGCGCCAAACGCCCGGCTCGAGAAGAACGTCACCGCGGCATTCGCTCTCGTCGAGCCCGAGACCTTGTCCAAGGAGAACAACGACGATGCCGTCAACGACTTTGACGACCGGTTCAAGCGTGCCCAGGGGAAGGTTAAGATCATTGAGCGGATGACGGGGGAGGGGGCTACGGCCAAGGAGGCTGCTGAGGCTCCCAAGGTTGCGGAGGCGAAGGAGGCTTGAGTTTCTGTATTGTCCGGTTTCATTTTGGCTTGGGCGGTTTGTCGAATTAGACAGAGCATGAGTGGCGGGAGTCGAGATACCCCAAGATGGAGGACAACGGCATTCGGGCAGGCGTGGCACAACTTTGGGACATTCTTTTAGAAAACTTGAGAAAAACGTTTAATGGAATCTAGTGTCCGTCATATTTACAGCTTTGCCACTCCCCTCATACAGAAACCCTCAAATCCACTCGCCTATGTGAACGTCCTGCAGGGGTAACTAAACAGCAACCCACGTTAGCAAACCCACGATCAGTACCAGCCAGGTCAGAAAAGGGACTCACGCTTCGCCGTAGGACTGGTCCTCGTTGACCTTGTACTTGTGCACGTCCCACTTTCCGCTCTTGAGGTCGTGGCCGCTGGGCGTGGGCGGCAGGCCGTTGGTGAAGAGCTGCTCCTTGCCCGCCTCGACGGCGGTGCCGTTCTTCTCGAGGTACGCCGCGATGCCGGTGGTCTGGGCCTCCTGCTGGGCGGCGACGAGCGCCTTCTCGCCGGCCTCGCCGATGAGCTCGACGCGCGGGTTGGCCGCGGAGCCGACCGAGAGCAGGCCGACGACGTCGGCCTGGTTGACGACGCTGAGGGCCGGGTAGTTGCGGCGGGAGTCGCGCTTCCAGTACGGGTTGTCGGCGATGTCGCCCGCGGGCACGGTGACGGGGTCGTCGTACTGGAGGGGGTCCAGGGAGCCGGGCGCCGGGTTGCGGAAGGTCGGGTTCAAGGGCACGCCGGAGGAGCGGTTCGGGTCGATGGCGAGGGAGCGGCGGATGCGTTCCCAGACGCCGGTGGACTGAAGGGTGTGTTTCTGTGGTTCGGGGGCTATGTGTTAGCTATCGGGTCGGTATCTTTGAGGCATGGGTAGTTGGGTGGTTTGTCGGGGAGGGCTTGGTGATGATGAAGGTGGTGGTGGTGGTTTCGTCGGGGAGAGGCCAATTGAGGCCGGCCGGGCGGTCGTACCTTGGAGATCTCCACAATGCCGCCAGCCGCAGCTTTCGCAACTGCCTTGGAGGCCATCTTGGCGACGTCGTGGGTTGAGCGGAGAGGGGTATTCGGTCGGTCGGTGATGGGCGAGCTTGGTTGTTGGTGGTGATCCGGCACCCGAGTCGAGAGCGTGCTCCAGTTTCTGGCGGGAGCGGGTAGCCGGGGTTTAGCCGGTCGAAGCAATAGCCGTGCTTCAATTTGCAACCCGACTTTAACAGAAAGTACCCACTTCACCTCTCTCGCGCAAATCTGCCCTGCAACGCTGGAATTTCCGGGGTTTGTTCACGGGAAATTGGCCTTTGGCGTGCATCACCATCAAGGTTTGGCGATGCTCTGCCGCCCAGGCAGAGGGGATGATGTACAATTGAAGCAAGACCAACGCCATTAAATCAATTCCCAACTACCTTGCGGATACATGAAAACCGTCCCATATCCCTCCTCAAGAGCATTTTCCTACAAGAACGCACTCTCACCACTAGATTATACTTACATCGCAGCACCATAATTACTCGTCTTTCTTCTCATCCTTCTTCTCGGCCTCGTCGGCGCCATCCTCCTTCTCGTCCTTGGCGTCACCATTGGCCGGCTCCTCCTTGGCATCGGCAGCAGTCTCGGCAGCAGGCTCGGCGTCGCCGCTCTCCTCGACGAGCGCCTTGACAACCTCGACGGTGGCAGCAGGACCGCCGGGCTCGGCGGCAAGGACCTTACCGGACTTGTCGACAACGAAAACACCACGCTGGGTGCCCTTGGGGTGCTTCTTGAACCCAATGGCACCGATAAGGGTGGCCTTGGGATCGCAGAGCAGCGGGTAAGGCAGCTTCTGCTTCGTCTTGAAGGTGGTGTTGGCCTTGGGCGAGTCCGCGGACAAGCCGTAGATGGCCAAGCCCGTCTTGGTAAGCGGCTCGTAGGAGTCTCGGAAGAGACAGACTTGCGTAGTGCCTGGGTATCAAGACGATTATCAGCACGCTGTGCATCCAGACGTGATATCGCCGAGAGGATGTCGCGGTATATTGAGGAGTACTCACAGCCAGGAGTCGAGGCCTTAGGATAGGTGAAGAGGACGACGCCGGCCTTGCTCTTGTCAACAAGCTCCTTCAGAGTGGTCTTGTCGCCGTCGTTAGTCTCGACCTCGCCGCCGAAGCCGTCGAGGTTGATGGTCTCGCCCTTGGCGGCTTTGACCTTCTTGTCGGAGCCATTGGCAGCGACGGGCTTCTCCTTCTCGACGGGCTCCTCAACGGGCTTCTCGGGAGCGGCCTTAGCCGGCTTTCCCTTGACGGCGCTCTTGACCTTCTCTGTGGCCTTTGCGACCTTGGAGGAGGCCTTCTTGGGAGCAGGAGCCGGGGCGGGCTCGGGGGCTTTGCGCTTGCGGAGCTCGACGGGCATTGCGTCTGGAGGATGGGTTGGGGGAGCTGGTGGTAGTGATTAAGATGTAGATGCCGGCGATTTTACAAAGGGGGTCGCTTATGATGTGCGACTTGGACTTGTGTGATGCGCTGTTGATGCGATCTGGATGCGATGGACAGGTCTGGAGAAATTGCAGCAAGACGGGAGGGGGTTACGGGAGTCGAGGGAAGTTGAGAGGTAAACAGGAGGTTCAAGAGGTCGGCCTCGGGAGGAGCCAATCACAGACGGCGATGGGTAGAGCTTCAGCCGGGACCAGGGGGCTGATGCGATGCAGATGCTGCGTGCTGCATTTTGCGCGCGGAGCGGAGCGGTGCGGTGCGGGCACCCAGATGCTACCTACCTGACGGTAAGGCAAGGTACGATGAAGATGTACCCTGCCTTCATTACACTACACCCATGCTCGGACTGTGGTGTCAATTATTAAGCTCGGGGCAGTCTGGAAAATACGCTGCGCGCAGCTCGGGGGAGGAGGAGAAGGAGGAGGAGGGAGGAGCTGCGGTTGCCGGAGGAGTGGTGTAGCAAGAGCACAAGAGGACTCAGGTCGGAATCTGCGTGTCTGGGTCCCCGAACCCAGGTGCCCTGCAACTGCAGCTGCGACTTCGTTGGGGCAGGAACGGCAGTGGCAGACGGGGAACACGCCTCTCTCTCCTGCTCTGAAGGAGATTTCGTGCCTTCGGCTGTTTCCCTGCCGTCCACCTCTCAACGCTCTCTGCGTTCCTGGTTCGGTGCTTCTTTCCCACCACCCCGGCCTAAGCTTTCGTCCAGTGGCCGTGCGTTCCTCGACCCCCGTCCCCGTCTTGGTCTTAGCCTCTGTGCGAACGCACGTTCTGGCGCTGCCGGGCTCGTGTGGGGGAACACCAGATGGCTGGGCCTAGGGCCACATGCGCTGCAGTTTCACCCGCGTCGTGTCCGTCATTGACAGGCGTTGGGTTGGGCCCTTTCGCCCTTTCTCGTGTCTCGACGCCCTACTTCTACTTCTGTCCCTGCCATCGAGATCCCGTCCGCGTCTGTCTCATCGCTGGAGCGATGAGAATGTGGCTTGCCAGCAGCCACGATGTCTAGGTATTGGGAAGAGGAAGCCACCTGCTTTGCGCGCATCCAATGCCACTGCAGTCCTCCAGTTCTCTACTATACTTCCAAGTAGTCGTGTTGTCTGCAGATGAGCTTCTCTCATCAACACCATTGGTCAGCCTCTGTTCCTGCGATTCTCCATCTCGTAGTCGAGAAAATGCCGTCCTCTTCTCCACACCACACCTTTCGTCGCTCGAAAGCCTGCAGCGTCATATCTGGCCCCGCAGAACATACAACGCGACGTCCTTCTTTACCCAGTTCAGCCCGCGGTTCGTTGCTTGCTTGGTAGCCTGCTTCCTGCTTAACTCCTACCATGTGGCTCATCAACGTCGACAATCTTCAATTGGAAGAGCACCTGAATCCGACCGTCCCTTACGCTATTCTCTCACACACCTGGGGCACGGAGGAAGTTTCCTTCCAGGACGTCAGGAACCTCACTGACGCCGTGAGGGGGAAAGCTGGATTTCCAAAGATTGCCGCAACATGCCGCCTCGCCAAGTCGCGAGGCCTTCCTTATGCCTGGGTTGACACTTGCTGCATCGACAAGTCGTCGAGTGCTGAACTCTCCGAGGCCATCAACTCCATGTTTCGGTGGTATCAGTCGTCAAAAGTATGCTTTGCATATCTAGCTGATGTACACGACGATGCAAACTCGAGTGCGTTTACCGAGAGCTTCGCGGCTTCCCGATGGTTCACGCGAGGATGGACTTTGCAGGAGCTAGTGGCGCCAAAGAACATCATTTTCTACAACGCCGTCTGGGAGCAACTTGGGTATAAAGAAACACTGGCTATGATGCTCACCTCTATCACGGGCATCGACAGCACTATCCTGTTCAATAAGGTGTCACCGAAGAAAATACCAGTTGCCACTCGCATGTCGTGGGCTTCTAAACGCCAAACTACTCGACTCGAGGATGCAGCATACTGCCTGCTCGGGCTGTTTGATATCAACATGCCACTGCTCTACGGGGAAGGGAAAAAGGCCTTCGCACGCCTTCAGTCGGAAATTCTGCAAGAGACGAACGACCTGTCTCTACTGGCCTGGACGTCAGAGACAACGGATCCTGGGCGGCAGCGGCCATACGATGGCGTATTCGCCGAATCCCCGGCCCAATTCGCAGCCTGCTTGGGTCGGACGATAGTGAACACGCCGTCGCTTATAGACGATGTCAACGTCGTCGTGACGAGGACCAACTTGATGATCACCACTACTCTGCACAGGCTATCCTTGGTTGAGGACGGGGCCGAAGCCCCAAACGGGAGGGAGAAGGTGTCGCTACTCCGACTTCAATGCAGCGACGTACAAGGAACACCGGCCGTTCGAAGATCAATTGGCATCTACGTATCCAAAACCCCGTCAGGATTTGTCCGCCACAAGCCCTGGATGCTCTCCAAACATCCCTTCGACGAGACCGTACTTTTGAACATCAATCCTCAACTGCTCAAATTTCTGAGATACATCAGTCCTGAGAATCACCTTGAGCGTCAAGACGAGAGGTTCCGCTCTGCTGTATTCGTTCAATTCACTCGGAACCGGGCCACAGCCAGATGGCTAAATTGGCCCGAGTTTTCCAGGGCCTCCCCAGAGGCGCTTTGGGACGGTCTTGACAGCGTATTCCTTCACCATGAGAGATTCAACCAAATTTCCCTAACCCCTCAATTGCTGGAAATCTCGTTGCGGGGGCTCACTGGGCTACTGGTCGGCAAGCTGTTTCTCGTGTCTGTCATGTCCAAACGCGTGCCCTCAGAACGGTGGGCGATCATGTTGAGCAACTATCAGGATTCCATCGGTGTTCCGTTATTGAAGAGCCTCGGCGACTGGGATATTGCCTTATTGTTGGCGGGGAGTACTGACACATTCGTTCGACCTACGATGGAGCGTCGGCAATTCTGGCCGGATCAGTACTCATCACACCCTGCCGCTCGATTGGCAATCCAGCGTGAACCGGCGGAGGGTGTCGCGTCACCGAACCGTCCAGCCTCTCGAATACTTCAGCTGTCTGAACATCTGCGCGTCCTCACAACCGTGAGCGTTGTCCCCAGCAATGCGGGAAGGGATGCCTGGACTATCCAGTTTTCTGTAGAGAATAGCGACTCGTCGTTGTATGCTGGATTTGATGTCGGATCAGCTGAGGTAAACGGTACGTCGGACGCCTCGATGGTGTTGTAACGTCTGCGTCGCCCATACCAGCTGAACCCTACATGGTATCCACTCACGACAGCGTCTTCAACAACAACATACGGCAAGATGGCCGAGCGGTCTAAGGCGCTAGCTTCAGGTGCTAGTCAAGTAATTGGCGTGGGTTCGAATCCCACTCTTGTCACAATTCTTTTGCTCTCATGAGCCTCTCACGATCTTATTTTTGGTGTTTTGGTGACTTATTTGACGTTGTGGTGTTGAGCGAGCTTTGAGTGAAGTTTTGTTGATGTACGGCCGTGTTCGGACGATTCGCGGGGCAGGCGCAACGTTCCTGCTTGGAAAGGTGGGTCCGAGCTTTGGCGCCTGCCATTTCTATGCGTCGAACGCATGAGCTTGACATGTTGCTTGACGGACATTCCAGCCTTGCAATCGGAAGAAAAGGAACGCTCTGCAATGTTTTTAATTGTGCAGTCGTACATGAGTGACGACTGAATCTCTGCAGCAATGGTGAAGGAAGTGGGTGTCGCCTTTCGATATTGGAGCCTCAACACTGAGTGACATGGCCGAAGTAACTCATGATACTTTTTGAGAGCAAAATGGTAGATTACATGATGGGGAAAATATACATCGAATTTCCTGTGGTATCTAAACAAGAAAGGGAAAAGACTCTTCACACAAGCACCTGTCGCTTCTGCAGCCATTTGCCTGTGTAAGTGCTCAACGCCAAGACGCTCAGCCGAGAGATTTACCATCACCGGCATAGCCCCCTTTTGAGAAACCCAAGATTCAGTGTCAAATACCCCAAACAGTACTCAAGAATAGCCGAAGCTCGTCTTCTCTAAATAAGGCCACTCACCTTCTCCCGTCCGTCTATCTGTATCTACCTCCATCCAGGATATGCACCTACCAAAAACCTCCCCTCCCCTCCCGCCCCACTACCCGCATAACCCCACCGCAACCACACACGTCCCAAACACCCAATCAGCTCACCACCCTCACCAAATGAGACCACATTCAAACCCTCAAAACTCACTTACACCGGTCGAAACCTCCAACAACCACTCCCAAAACACCAGTAGTGGGAGAATGAATTGAGATGCCTTCATCCAAGATGCGCAAAGGAAACCTGACGCCAAAGGTAAAGAAATCAAAACCACACCACATCACATCACACATCCCTTTCCCTCATCTCCAACTCCACTCTCCGTGAACCATCTCCATCTCCTAACGGCCTCATAAACAGACGATAACCGCCCCCTTGGCGGCCTTCACCATGGCCTGCCTCCTATTCGCGTAAGTTACACTCTCTCTCATCTCTGGCACTCCTACCTCGCCTCGCCTCGCCAAGCTGGAACCATCCTAGACCTCAGAAGGAAAAGAGTCCCCGCTGACCTAAACCAGGTACACCCGCTCCTCGATCCGCTCAGCGCGAGACCAAGCCGTTTGTCGCCCCAACATCTCTCCAATCTCATGCGATTGTTTCTTATCTGCAGCCTCACTAACACCCCCTTCCAGAGATACGGCCAAGGTCACGGCCAGAACCAGGGCCACATCGCCAGCGGCAGCAGCAGACCTGCCATGCCGTCTGAGCCCAAGTCCTGATGCGGGGACAGAGAAGCATCCATTATCGCAGACGCCTCAGTATCGCGGGTGTTTGCCTCTGTTCGTCACTACCATCCTCAGCGGCGGACGAGAGCAGGAGAACCGGGCAAGCAGAGCCGCGCTGAGATACGCCGGTTTTCTATTGTATCGCTCAACTTTCATGTACCATATACCCCCCATGCGCCATTGACATTACGTCTACAAGCGCAGCACGAGATACCAAGTGAGAAACTAAAAAAGGCTTTCGCATTATATTTGCGCTACCGGTCATTGTCCCCCGTAGATACTCCGCGCCCAAGACTCATGTTTATGCTACAAAAGATTTGTGCCGCCCCAAATAACATCCGATCCTTTTTTGTCATGCTCCATGGGTAAGCAAACGCTCTGTGGTGAGAGAACGGGTTCAGGATGCTAGAAAAAAATGAAAGGAGAGAGAGAGAGGTGGGAGGGACAGATACTGCTGCCTCTCCTGTGGAGTGTGTTTGAGGGTGCGCTATTTCGCGTGACCTGAATCGAGTTTGTCTATAACCTGACGACCAAAGTTAAGGGTATCTGGAAAAGTCCCATTCCCGTTTTCCTAATCTCAACAGCTTCTTCCCTTCTCTCCTGCATTGATGTACCGCAAATGGTTGATCTTGATACGTAGCCTCTTGCCATCCTCCTTCTTTGACTGAGCAAATTCAACGCCGCTCTCGACTGTGCGTGTGTGTGTGTGTATTTGAAAAATCGGCCGAAATGGCGGCTGAGCTCATGGTTCGAGTTCCCTTCCCTTCTTTCTCTTGCCCTCGTCCCTTGCTTGGTTCAGCTGCTTCATGACAAACTCGTACGTCAACATCGTCACCGTCGCGGCCGGCACCGCTCGCATCATGTTAGTGCCCATGCCAGCGTAAAATGCCCTCCATCCCTCCTCTTTGAGGATCGTCCGGAAGGTGCTAGCCACGCCGCGATACTTTGGTGATATCGGCTGTTGCTTCTTGGCTTCGTCGCCCAGCATCGACTCTGGCACCTTGATGCCAAGACCCAGGAGGTATTCCGCTCCGGCTACTGGCCTCCTTTGCGTCTGCAACCTCGTCCGGATGACTTCGTGCGGGTACGTCGCGCTGCTCGCCATGATCTTCGATAAGATCGAAGCACAGAGAATGCCCATCCACTGCGACTCCTGCGCATCGCCGTGCGCAGGCTCTCCCATTCCCTGACCGGTGAACTTGGTCTTCAGGTACTCGTACGCGGGGAACTGGACAGCTACGTGAGTAAGTCCCAGCAGGGCCGGCGTCAGACCGGAGTAGAAGGAGAGGATGCCTTCCGACGTGTACATCTTGCGCGCGGCGTCCACCGTCGACGAATAATGCCAGTTGCTGTGCAACGTCGGTCTCGAAGTTGGTGTATTAGACGACTTCGGAAACTGCGAGTAGTGCTTGCCAGGGTCGTGTGCGACGCTTTGCGACATCAGGCGGGTCTTGATAACCCATATCGGATTCGTAACAATGGTACTGCTGGCACCGGCTATGATGGATGACCAAAAGTTGATAAACACCGCGTTGTCTGTGGCTGTTGTCAGCGGAGCGCTCTCCTTGAAACCACCCCCACTCCCGTTTCCTTACCATGGCGCTGCTTCATCCAATCCTTGCTCTTGTTGTAGACGGTAAACCAAACAGCCCAGGTGGGCAGATAGCCCAACACTATCGGGCCGAGCCCCCTGTACATGCCGCGGATGCCCTCTTCCCTCCAAATGACGCCGGCGGTGCCAAGCAGGCCATTGTACAGCTTTGGGTGTCCGACGTGTCTGCCTTTTGCGATAGGGTTGAAGCCGCCCTGGGCCTGCAGCTTAGTCTTGATGACATCAAGCGGGCAGGTGACGACGCCCGAGGTGAAGCCTCCGACGGCGCCGGCGAGTGCGTTGAATTGAGAGTCGGAGGCGCCGGCAGCCCATCTTTCGAAGAGGGTGATGGTGGTGTCGGGCATGGCAGCGGCGGCTTGCTCCACGGTGGCTACGGCCGCGGCGCGGACCGGGGCTGGGTAGGCTCGCGAGCTGCTGTAGTTGGGATATGTCGATGTGGGATACGGCCCATATTCTTCTTCTGGCGGGTGCGGTGCGCCTCGTTGAGGATCGTGGTGTTCGTCGTGAGACATCCCCTCTCACTGTTGAGCTCGGTCGGCGGTCAGGATTGCGGGGTGTAGGCGAAGTTCTGTGCTGGGTAGAGATCAAAAGAAATCGGCGCGGTGCTCCGGGATTTGGTTCGCTCTCGAAAAAGCTGTGTACAAGGCAGATGGGATCAAATATCTGGATACCGCACAAGCAGGTGCGGGCGTTGTTGTTCAAGATGCCGCAGTAAGTCGTTCGTGATCAGTCACTCTTTCGGTGGTAATTGTGGTGTATATCGTTTGTACCTGTCGGTCAGGTATGGATCGTTGCTGGACCTTCCCAGGTGTCCCGGTATGCGGGGAACGCTCCCACGCCGCCGTGACACTGAGCGACTAGCGGTTATCGCAGCCCATTGGCCTTGCGGGGGATTCGAGACCTAGTGCGAGTAGTGGAAAACGGATCGGGTAGGGCGAGCGCTCCCATATACACGGGATTGGGAAGTGAGGGGTGAGGGCGGAGGCGCGGGGAGGAGAGAGAGGGAGACGGAGAGAGGAGTTGGTGAGAACGGTGGTGGTAGTAATGGTGGTTGCAGGAGTAGTGTAGTTTAGTCTTGGTCTGGTTGGTAAGGCAAGGTAGCGTCGGCACGGGAGGAGGAGCGCAGTCGGGGCAGTTGGAGACTGAGATATTGCGAAAAAGCGCCGAGGTGGAGCGGGACGGAGCACGAGAGCAAAATGATGCGAGCTGTCGGCTGTCTCTTTTGGCAGGAGGCGCCAGGATCGGGTTGCAGTGGTGCGGTGCAGGTGCGGTGCAGCGCATTCGCAGCAGTGAGTGAGGTGGGTGGTGGTCCGTCAGTGAGTGGCCCAGGATGTTGAGCTGCCCGCTGCTGTTCGGGTGGAGTTGGAGGGCGCAAGCCGTACCGTTTGACGCTGGAGACTGGACGACAGACGCCGATGCACTCTACAGGTTCCGGCACCTGCTGAAGGGTCCTGTGCAATGACGCTGCGGGGGTTGGTGCTTCATTCCCGACTTGTTGCTGACGGGAGGTTCTGAGACTTTGAGTCGCCGAACGGTGTGGTGCTCCTTTCCCGAGTGTTGGCTTCAGACCCGGGAGCTGCCGACAGCTTCCAGCTTGTTTGCAGCAATCTTAATGATCAACGCATATTATGACGCAGGATTACAGGGCGCAACTGTTTCGTCGCAATGAATTGTTCGCACGTGAGCCAGTTGAACATCGGCTCGGCACTATCTTGCAGATACTCGGAAATGACAGAGCTGTTCAGCGTCTGTCTGGGACCGTTGCAAGTCGGAAGCCGAACCCGAGCCCTTTCTCGACTCAGTCCCTACAAGACTCTGAATCGCAAAGTCGCGAAAGCCCAGCGAAAAAAGTTTCAAGCTTCCAGACCACAAAATGAGCTCCACCTCCGCCGGTTCTTTGCGGCTTTTGGGTGCACCACAAAAATCTCGTCCAGCAGCAGGGTCTGCGGTGCTATCACGGCCAGGGCTTCCCGTTGGTAGCGCCCATTACCTCATAGGCGCCCCAGGCCCAATCACCACCGCTGCTTTCTCTCTACCCGTTTGCTGGAATATGGTCCGTGCGGCAAGATCTCTGGGCATCTTCTCCAGCCACATCTCGCACCGCCACAGAACCTCTGGTCTGGTCAGCTGTGGCTGATGAGTCGTTGACTGGCCGGAATCTCAAGGGTGGTCACATGACCCGGCCGTCCCGAATCTTTGCGCCTCTCCGGGATGCTCCACGATTTTCCCAGTGCAGTGTGTGTACCAACCTCAGGCGATCCGCAAAACCGCTCTCCGAGGCAATTCATATCGACAACCCCCCGATCTCCTCTCCACCACCCAACCCAGCCCGCCACAATGACTTCGCTCATTTCCAAGCAGCTGGCCGAGGGCATCCTCGCCCGCCCCTTCCTCAAGTCCCTCGCCGTCCCCTTCTCCAACTGGTACGCCAACGCCGCCGGCCACCGCAAGCTCGGCTTGAGGTAAGCGCATCCAACCCCCGCGACCCAATTGCGACCCTGCGACACCGCACCCCGGACCGACGGCTGATCAGACGACTTGCAGGTTCGACGACCTCATCGAGGAGGAGACCGATATCGTCCAGAAGGCCCTCAAGCGCCTCTCCCCCAAGGAGTCCTACGACCGCGTCTTCCGTCTCCGCCGCGCCGTCCAGCTCTCCTACCAGCACAAGCTCCTGCCCAAGAACGAGTGGACCAAGCCCACCGAGGTAAACCGACGCCTAGTCGACCCGAATTGAACGATTACGGACCTTGGAAGGACTAACACATGGATCACTACAGGACGTTCCCTACCTGACCCCCCTCATCCACCAGATCCAGGCCGAGGAGGCTGAGAAGCTGGCCTTCGAGACCATGGAGGTCCAGAAGAAGCACCACTAAACCGGCTGCCGGAGAGAGGAAACGGAAATGGAGAGCGCGCACGCCTGATGTGTAGTATTAGGGAGGGAACCGCCCGGCCGGGTGCGCGATGGGCCGAAAAAAAAATATGCGGCGATTTTTAGACCCGAGGAGGATATAGAGACAGGCCGGGCGGTTCGTGTACCTTATGTATAGACCTCGGGGGTTTATTTTTCGTCTGTCAATTGGAACACCCTGCTACAGTTCAAGGTTTTGCCGCGCCCATAGTACCAATTGATGACTGCTTGGACATTGGGATATCTCAAGGACCCTCGCCCCCCGGCTCGGGCTCGCGGGCTAGCTGACAAAATGCGCACTCTGATTGGTCAGTGCTGTCCGACCCACACAACAACACCAAGACTATGGACATGAATGACAACGACCATTGCAAGTTTTCACGATACATCGATATGACGACTTCCACACACTGGGCCATGACCGTTCAACGAAGAACTCTGCAATTGTGTAAGACGCGGCGTTTGATGCCTCTTTCACGAAAGCGTAGTCATTAATCCATCATTTAAAGGGCCCCATGCTTTCAAAGTACTAAGTACCACTTATCATGAAGCAGTATGTGATGCCTGCAATGTAATCAATCGACCGTGTTTATGGCACCAGGCTTCTATTTCCATTACACACTCAGCCGTATCCTGTGAAATAAAACACGAATCTTTTTCTCCCCACTGCCTCAATCTCTTCGAGTTGCGACGAAGTCCATCCATTCGATTCTCACCACTGATACCCCTCTATGAAACTCTTCTTAGCTTGGTGTATTGCGACATTTTTAATATCGAAGAACGTCTGTTAGCAGATACCGCATATCTCTTCTAAGTTGTCACCGACTGCGTGGCTGTCGACAGACGAGCTGCCTAGAGGATATGGAAACAACGTATTATGCAGGAGTTATACTAATAACTCCGGGGACGAAGGCGACAAGGGACGAAGGCGTTGGTATCACAGCGTAAGACAGCTTTCCAGGACCGTAACAGTCGGCGTCCCGTTGCGGCTGGGATATCAATTATACACGAGACGAGTACGATTTTGGTTGGCAGCCTACCTAACCCGTGCTCCCTTCCGCTCCATTCTATGGAATCACGGAAGGCAACTTTAGGCTATACTCTTAGGTTTAAATAGGGAGTGATGACCGTCAAACACGATTTTCAGCAGCCGCGATAGGGGTAGGCTATCGTTCGTAGGTGGTTGGGCTTAATAGCAGCCGTCATTTTGAGACTCGAGCCCAGGCTGGTGCATGGGCTGGTTTAAGGGGTCATTTCGAATACCGTCGTTCATCTTCATCGTCTTCTAGGGAGCAACCGCAGAGAATAATCGACGATGGGTTTCACTTTTCTACTCACGATTCACGGTCACCTTCAGAACAGAGCAGAGGCTCAGATCTATGAAGATACTAGAAATATCCTTCGGGAAACTGGTTGAACGTTCCTCCACGCCGAGGTCATCATCTGGTTTGGCTTACAGAATCAGTGCCAGGTTCTGAGCGAGGCAATCTTTACGTAGTCTTGTCGTGGACTTGACTTTGGAGTTGTGTCAGCGCATAGAGAGATGTCCTCAAGGGGGGCGGTAAGCTCTCACACTTTGTCAAGATGTCTGTAAGCACCTCAGCTATCCATCATCGTCTTCCGCAACTACAAAAGCCGCACTTAAAGCAAAGATTCCAGCTTCAAACCCACAGATTTCGATGCGCTTGGATTTCAGGGAATAATTCGGTTCCCGGGACTAGGAAGACATATCAAATGGAGTATAAGTCCCCACAGTTCATGGCCTGCAATTAACTCGTAGAGCCGCTGTCGTCTTGTCATTCAAGCAGAATAGCTTAGAGATAAGAGGGATGATGAAATCCGTTCACGAAGCATCATTCCCTTTGGTGGTTTTCAAACAAAGAAAGAAGAGATGCTAGAGCGATGTAAGCTGCTCGCTACTAGAATAACGGACACGTTTCATAACTATTCTGCTGTGAAAAGAGCTCTGAGCCCAAAGATTTCGCTGAAGCTTTTATGTTCAGGTTGCTAAGGGATAAACCCGAATAGCCAAGCTACGATGCCCGGCACGACTCTGCGGGCTTCACTCTGCCACCACGTGGTGAGTCAACGTTCCCCATGTTGGCCCTTGACATTCTCAATGGCATCTAAAGTGATATGATGACGGCAAAAGAGCAACGATACTGAGGCTGTGTGAGAGATAGAGGACAGCTCATGGGAAGGTACAGTCCCACAAGCATTATGTCGGAGGATTGTAGTACGGACAAGAACGCGCGAATTTGGAGCTGCTCTATGCCTCGCTCAGTCCCCATCACATTTTGATGGCGTCTGTCATCTCTGTCATCTGCAGCGTATCCCGACTTATCCTGTCCATGAGGAGCAAGAATGCTGCGATGAAAGGAGGGGTGACTTATATCGTAGCATCACTAACCTCAGCTTGGGCTAACCTTGCAATGCTGCACTACTCTGAGGACAAAAAGAAGAAATTGGTGGCCAGATATTGTGGGAGTGGGATATATTTTCACCAGACCAACCCCTATTTAAACCCAATAGTACGTCCTAAAGTTCGCAGCATACCGGCCAAATAGCAGCAGCAGGAATCAGCTCGGCTGAGATCCG